CCTTTTTTGGCGCCCAACATGGGGTGCCACGTAGAAGCTACCTAAAATCCATCAAGATAGATAAGATAATCCATTCATTCATTTTCTATATAATGCTACTTACTGCATTGATTGTATCTAGCAGATCTAGAAAAATAAGCAATAACTGCTGCTAAGTAAAAAAACAAGGTTAAAACTGAAAATTAACGATGTATTTCAACTTGAAGAAACCTTGCAAGTATTTATCTACAAGTGTGTGTGAAACGATGATCCCCACCGATGCCATCTTAGAAAACCTGTCTAAAGAAACGGATCAGGTGAACATCTTTACGAGAACTGGGATTTCTGTTTTGTTTTCATAGAAATAAAATAGCCAAGAAACAAATTTGAAATGGTCAAGGATCAAATTTGCTTAAACTCAAAATATTTACCTACATAATATTATTTAAATCAATGAATGTGTCTGTTTCATCAAAAACTGAATCACAATATCTTAATAAATAAATCTAAGAAATAATAAAAAAAAATCTACCTTTAGAAGAAAAGAAGATCCATCTACTTTTGCTTTTCCTACCAGCTGGCAAGTGAGATCAAAGAACAGCATTGGCTGAACATCACACAATTTTGCTGGTGGTCCTGAGGTCAGAAGATTACTGGCTGCCCAAACACGTAATTCTTCTATTATTTTCTGTTCTTCATCCATGAAAGTGTACACTTTGCTAGAGGTTCGAGGAACTATTGGCGCTCCCACAGTTCCATCAAATGTCAAGGATGCAAACCCCACACTGGTAATTCCGTGCATCCGTCCATTGAATTGCCTGATCTGTAACAAAATGTGAGGAAAAAAAACGTTACACTGTATCAAAATATACATATGTTTCTGTTTTACCAGAATTGACCATTGATCACTTTTGTTCCTGGTACTACTAGGAGAATGGACTCAAAATTAAAAAAAAAAAACCCAACCACACAAGAAAAGGAATTTAAGAAGAAAACAAAATTAGTAAGCAAAAAATATAATCTAACACACATAAAAATTAAAGATTACTAATACCTACACGCAAATATACATTATTAGGGCAGAATCTTTTCTTCACAAATCTCAATATGTTTGTGTGGGGACCCTATCACTGCTTTTACAGATGGGAAAACTGCAGCAAGAAATACATTAATTTTCAGAGGTGACAACACAGTAGAGGCGGAGAAAGTTATGGATTCCTGTTTCCTGCCTCTCACAACATTTCATGACATTATGAAAGAAAATATCAGTCCTAGGAGCTATTTTTTTTTAACTATAAAGCGAAGAGTAACCAGCATTCATCCCCTGAATTATGAATACAGCTATCACAATTACTCCTGTATTTACTGCCCTGCACATGGCAGGTCCCCTGTATCCTGCTGATTTAGCTGTCTATCTGCTGCCATATAAAGCACAGTGTTCCAAGTCTGAGGCATTCTTTCAAGAATCTAGTGTAGTCTTTTGTTTCCTGTACTTCATATATATGGAAGCACTGCATGACTCATTGTTTCCTGTACTTCATATATATATGGAAGCACTGCATGACTCATATACAGAAACCTGAAACTGGCTCTTTTGATCTATCCCTTTTTAATTAAAATTTGCTTACCAAAAAGCAACACGACTTCTGAATACTGAATTTGTGAGACAATCTTGTTTAGGATTCCTCACGCTGAATTTTCAAATGGTTGAAAATCCTACTGATTTAAAAGTGCAGAATCTGAAAGATGTGACAGAAGTTCTAAACAGCCACGTTTTTCACCAGAACACTGACAATAATTTAGGGCCTATATTTTATAAACATATTGAAATTTGAAAAGCACACAAATCGAGTATTCCTTGAAAATCCATAAACAAAGCAGTTGAATCTTGGTGATAGGAACTCCTTTAATCCCTGCTACTCTGACATAATGAATAAAAGCATTCAAGATCATCTCTAGGATAAACTTTCATTTACCTAAGCATTCTCCAGACTTGACCAATCGATAACATCAATTCATGATCTAGGTTTTTTTTCATTGTAACACTGAAAAGCTTTAAGTCTTTTGACCTTTTGGTTTAAATATTGAAAATACAAGAAAAGCAAATGAACAAATCACAAAAATACATAGTTTTGTAATCAATTCATGCCAATTACCCATGATCTGGAAAAAAATATACTTCAATACAACACCAAGATGTTACTTAATATAAATACACAGACTTGTTTTAGTTGCTGCCACTGGCATTATACTCCATAGCTTCGTAAAATAGGTAACATCCAGAGGGCAGAAAAACTCTTTCAGCACTTTTACTCATTCATCTGCTATCAAAAGATACTTCAAGCATATTTTTAAGTATCTTGTCTGACATGTCAAATGTTTCTCAGTGTTTTGATTTCCAATTTACGTACTTACTTATTTCTACACTAATGCTTTTAAATCATCATAAAAATATCTTTACTTCTTTCTTAATAACAATTCTGTCCTAGACCTCTAGCCTACTTATGAGGCCTCTAAACCTTTCAGGAAACCAGCTCAAGAAACTACTCTGTCTCCCTGGGCTTCCATTAATATTTCACTATATGCTATTTTCGTTGCGTTCCAAATCCTTTATGTCATGTTTTGACCCTCATAAGGCTGTGCTTAAACATACTGTATTTCTGACGTCTCCTAGTACCCTCAGTTAGTGGATTTGAAATCAGCCTTAATGTAGGCAAAGGCAGTTATAAAATAACAAAAGAAATAAAAATACATAAGAAGGTAAACCTGAAGTGTCATGATGAGAAAATTGCCAGGGATATAGAAGCAAAACCAAACATCCTTAGGTATAGGTACACAGAGAAGCCACTGAGTGCTCTCAAAAGACAAACAGCATTCAACAATATCATTTAGTGACCAACAACAAACAGGAAAAATAAATGGAGAATGGATTACAGAACAAAGTATTTCATAGCTGGAAAATTACATATGTCAGACCCACAGAACAGAAGATGGTCAACAGAAATTCACCAGCCTTGTCCTTTAAAAACAACTCATTGCTAAAGTGATTAAGAAATCACTGGAGTGTAAAATGGACAAAATCCATGGGCAAATATTGTTTCATTAGGGTGCTCTAAGCAGATCACAGATCAAGTTAAGCAGCAATACTTAAATTGGTTATACTTTCCACACACGAACATTTTTGAAATTGAATTAAACTTAGGGAAAAGAGCTAATCTGAGACTTTTATATGATGACAATTCTCCCTCAGCAGATTATGTATCAATTCTAGAGACCTCGGGATTTAAAAAAAAAAAAAGGCGTGTGTGTGCATGTGTGAACAGTGAAGTGGGACAAACGGCTATCACTTCAAAAATTCCCTGAGAATTTTAAGTAAATTCAATAAATAACACTTGCTAAACAAAAATATCTTCCGGGAAAAAAATGGAGCAGATAGCATGTATTTGGCTTGCTCTAAGCAGGCAAGTAAATTCCAATACACAGAGGGAGTCTTTGGCACAGTTTTTATAAACAAAAGGTGAAATTTCACTTCAACGAGCTGTGTGGACAATAAAATCTAATCATTTCTGTGGGGTACAACTCTGTCTTGAATATGCTCATTGAAAAGAAGCTAATGTTGAAATATTTATAAATAGATTTACAGCAACCTAAACCACCTGAATTAATTTTGATTTTTACTGATGCTGGTGTTAATTCACTTCATTCAATGGAAAAGTGTGATACTAAGTAGTGTATAACGCTGGAATAATAGCATTTCCGAGGTACTTTTCCATCAAAACTGTTAAATCGCAGAAGGACTACTATGAATCCACAGCAGACAGATCATCTTGGAATATTAAAAAAATACCTTGTAAAACAAGTTATACTAAGCCAACGTACACTTTCTTATACCTAGAAGGAAGATTTCCTAAAATAAACGTAACTCAACTTATGAAAGGATCAGGAATTCAAGACAATATTTTGAAACACGAGTACATTAAGCTTGAAACTAGATTATTATTTCTACATATAAAATTAAGACATCAAGTTGTGGGTTTTTTTTTAACTTTAATTACTGACTTTTTTCTGAAATGCACTGTCCAAACCTCTATTCCAATTTGAGCTTACATTCAGCTAAAGACCTCATTGTGAGTTATCGTTTACCTGAAAGTCAAAAATGTGATCCCTGTGATTCATGGCTGACAACAAAATAATAGATCAACGTTTACATGCTACTACCCAGTCTTCCCTTAACTGCAGAAAAGATATGAGAGCGTCATGGTTTAATTCCAGCCAGCAACTAGGTACCACACAGCTGCTCAGTCACCTCCCCCTCCCTCGCCCCTAGTGGTCCAATCACAGAACTGCAGGAATTTTGGCCAGCAAGGACCACAGGAGATCAAATTCCCACCTCTTCCTCAGGTCAGGGCTGTTGTCAAGCACTGTGTCATATCATGCTTTGGTTAATTGAGCCTTGAAAAATTCCAGCCTGGAGATTTCAAAACCACCCCAGGTAGCCTCTTTCAATAACACATTCCATCCCTGGAAACACCCCCTTTGCCATCTTAAGCCTCATAATCCATAAGGATCCATAAGGTTCCCCAGCACTGACTACTAAATATTTTCATTGTATCAACTGTTTAAAAAGACCTGTAGGAATTTGGGGAAAATATCTACACATGGATTATATTTCAAATGAAACTCCATCCAAAAACCAAGACAGGAACTTGGGATGGTGCAAAACAATAAAAAAACCCCAAATATACTAGATGCCACAAACTCTACTAATTTGTTCTTATAAATGTTGGCTATGGAAAAGGATTTCTTTTTGGAAAATTGATAAAAAATTTAACTTATGCTAGGGATGGGGGCTCCTAGCAACAAAGGGATACCCTTCAATTCTCCCCATTCACTCACCACCTTACACATAGACAATCACTGCACTTCAACTTGAAAAATGATCTAGAATAAATAGCTGGAGCAGATATCTGACAGAAAACCTTGGAAAAATAAAATACAGGTTTTCCATTGCATCAAGACAAAAAAAATAGTTCACTTACACAGGTATTTAGCTTATTTCATTGGGTAGTTCTTTTTCATTTTTGGTTGCATGGGTAGCCAGCACAGAATGGAATGGCATCTAAGAGCCACTGGTCCAAGACAGCCCTTTCTGAACTGAACCACAGAGCATTTAAACTTGGAAACACCCCCTAAGTATTGCTTGCCATCTGAGCAATGATGGATTATAAACAAGGTGGCTTTCTCCTGTTAAATGCTATTACTTTATTGGTGAGTCTAACATCTTAAATAAGAAAGTGGAAGCAGGTTGAGAAGGTGTCTTGTTAAGCAATTATGTTTATATGCCTCAAACTAGCTGAAAAAAAAAATTCTAGAAGAAATGTTCTGAGGTCTTTTAGGGTATGAATGGCCTCAACAATTTCATTTCTAAATGGTCCTTCTATTAAATGCGAAGTACTCCTTTGTGTTACGGACTTCTCGGAGAGAAATCCTAGATTTATGATTAAATCTGAGACTTCAGCCACCGTATACAATACACTATATTCAGCATCACCTACAAGAATATTAATAACTAACCCCCTTTATTTGTCCCTGTTGCACTGCTGCTGAAACTCTTGAGCTTTATTAGGAATTGCACAGGGCTAAGAAGAGTATGAATGTCAGAGTAAAACCTTCGGAGATGTTTCTCACCAGCCCTCTCCAGACCTGGCAATATGAGAAACAACTTCAGTCCTACAATCCAGAAACCTGCAGTTCAAAACTAATCTGGAAATAGGAAATGCTTGCTTTCCATTCCAAGTGGCATGCACTACACAAGGGTGGGAT